ACTTCACTCATTTGGGCAGTCACGGGGCACGACGAAGAAGATGAAGAAGAAGATGAAGAAGAAGAAGAAGATGAAGAAGATGAAGAAGAAGATGAAGAAGAAGAAGAAGATGAAGAAGAAGATGAAGAAGAAGAAGAAGAGATGAAGAAGATGAAGAAGAAGAAGAAGATGAAGAAGAAGAAGAAGATGAAGAAGAAGAAGATGAAGAAGATGATGATGAAGAAGATGATGAAGAAGAAGATGATGAAGAAGAAGATGATGAAGAAGAAGAAGATGAAGAAGAAGAAGATGAAGAAGAAGAAGAAGAAGAAGATGAAGAAGAAGAAGAAGAAGATGAAGAAGAAGATGAAGAAGAAGAAGAAGAAGAAGAGGAAGAAGAAGAAGAAGAAGAAGAAGAAGAAGAAGAAGAAGAAGAAGAAGAAGAAGAAGAAGAGAGGAAGAAGAAGAAGAAGAAGAAGATGAGGATGAAGAAGATGAGGATGAAGAAGAAGAAGAAGAAGATGAAGAAGAAGATGATGAAGAAGATGATGATGAAGAAGATGATGAAGAAGAAGATGATGAAGAAGAAGATGATGAAGAAGAAGAAGATGAAGAAGAAGAAGAAGAAGAAGATGAAGAAGAAGAAGAAGAAGATGAAGAAGAAGAAGATGAAGAAGAAGAAGATGAAGAAGAAGATGAAGAGGAAGAAGAAGAAGAAGATGAGGGATGAGGAAGAAGAAGAAGAGGATGAGGAAGAAGAAGAAGAAGAAGAAGAAGAAGAAGAAGAAGAAAAAATAATAAGAAGAAGGAAAATAAGAAGAAGAAGGAAAATAAGAAGAAGGAAAATAAGAAGAAGAAGAAGGAAAATAAGAAGAAGAAGAAGAAGGAAAATAATAATAATAATAATAATAATAAGAAGAAGAAGAAGAAGAAGAAGAAGGAAAATAAGAAGAAGAAGAAGAAGAAGAAGAAGGAAAATAAGAAGAAGAAGAAGGAAAATAAGAAGAAGAAGAAGAAGGAAAATAATAATAATAATAATAAGGAATATAAGAAGAAGAAGAAGAAGAAGAAGAAGAAGAAGAAGGAAAATATGAAGAAGAAGAAGAAAAATAAGAAGAAGAAGAAGAAGAAGAAGAAGGAAAATAAGAAGAAGAAGAAGGAAAATAAGAAGAAGAAGAAGGAGAAGAAGAAGAAGGAAAATAAGAAGAAGAAGAAGGAAAATAAATAATAATAAGAAGAATGAAAAAATAAGAAGAAGAAGAAGAATGAAAATAATAATAAGAAGAAGAAGAATGAAAAGAAGAAGGAGAAGAAGAAGGAGAAAAGAATGAAAAGAAGAAGGAGAAGAAGAATGAAAAGAAGAAGGAGAAGAAGAAGGAGAAGAAGAATGAAAAGAAGAAGGAGAAGAAGAAGGAGAAGAAGAATGAAAAGAAGAAGAAGAGGAAGAAGAAGAAGAAGAATGAAAATAATAATAAGAAGAAGAAGAAGAAGAATGAAAATAAGAAGAAGAAGAAGAAGAAGAATGAAAATAAGAAGAAGAAGAAGAAGAAGAAGAAGAAGAAGAAGAAGAAGAATGAAAATAAGAAGAATTCCAGTACAGCAAAAGTGTATCTGCAGAGAGCTCCGCTATTTCTGACATTCTCTGACAGTTCCTTCACATTTACAGCGGTTGAAACATTGTATCTATTTGTTTCCGAATAAAAACATCTGTATCCTAAATGGAAACAAATAGATACAATGTTTCAACCGCTGTAAATGTGAAGGAACTGTCAGAGAACTGTCAGAAATAGCGGAGCTCTCTGCAGGGACACTTGTTGCCGGCTGTAGAAGGGATGAAAATCGGCCGATCGGGAAAAATTTGATTCGTGCATCCGAAGTTTGCTAATTTTCGGATTCGGTGCGAATCGAATTTTTCCTAATATTCGAAACGAATTCCACTTCGCCAAGTTCGATTCGCTCATCTCTAGTTACTAGAGGTTCCCTGAGTAATGAGCACATTCTGTTTTTTTAGATAAGTTCCCAAGGACATCATTAAGCTATCTGTAAGGGGGTAAATCTTGCCAATGACTATAAGTGTGAGGAGCATTATTCCCATTGACCATCACACTAACATATCAATTGTTGTAGATATAGTCATTTTTAGCTAGCGTTCCATGAGTTTGGGCAATTATTTCAGGGGTTCCTCAGTGTTGAAAAGGATGAGAAAGGCTGCCTTAACTAGTTAGATACAATTTAACTACAGCAGGGTCGACTTCAGCTACCACTCCACCAAACAAGCCAGAAGAGCATTTTTTACCAATATTAATGCTGATAACTTGGAAAAAAAGCAACACAAAATTGAAAGGGAAAAAATATTTTTTTAAAAAAGTGACGTAAAAAATAAAATCTCACTTTTCCTAGGCAGATTTTCATCTCAGCATGGTGTTTGCTGCAGAAATGTAACAAAATTGATTCATCGGCTTTAAATATCTTGCTGTCTCTTCTCCCTAAGCAAAGTCAACTGAAGTATTAATAAACAAAAATATTGTATTTTCCATAGTGATGGTATCATTTACTTGTAAAAACAAAAGGTCATCTCTCCATTGAACTACTTCTTGACCTTTTAGAGGATACTGAACCTTTCACACATCTGTCTTATATCTGAATATACAGTTGTAAGCACTCGTTGGACATGGACAAATGGAATGTTTTTAAAGAGAACCAGTTGCCAATGGACAACTGATATGATCCTCAAAGTAGAAGTGTCAGGATAATTGCACACTTTCAGGCTGTCCTATCTTCTGTTGAGTATAGGCAAAAAATATATGCACAGGAAACAACAGCACACAACTATACACGAATCAAGGGAAACAATCAAATAAAACAAATAGCATGAAATAATTAAATACATGGAAAGAAGCAACAGTCCATAGAAGATGACAATACAGTTGGTATGTGGTTCAGGTGAAGCACCTATCCTAGAACAGAGCTGCAGTAACCTTGGAGGACTGGAAAACTCCAAATGAAATAGACAAACCATAAACAAGGAGGGCACAGCTAAGTGTAGTAGAAACTGCTTTATTAAAAAAATTAAATACAAATTAGCTACTCACAAAGTATGAAGGAATGAAGTACATTTCACTACCAAAATGCTTTTCCAGTGCACCAAGACCAGCACAGCAGGTAAAGGCAGCCGGCACCATAATAATTATGTGTACAACCACATTTTAAATATTAAGTGTATTACCTAAAACAAGAAAGATCTATAAATCTTACTGTGTAACAATGTATCTAAATCTATCCCTACTGTGCTTATGTTACTGCTACAGAGCCATATATGTTGCTGGCTGTCTTTACCTGCTGTGCCGGGCTTGGTGCTATGGAAAAGCAATTTGGTGTTGACATGTATTTCATTCCTTCATACTTTGTGAGTGACTACGTTTTATTTCATTATTTTAGCAAAGCAGTTTCTACTACACTTAGCTGCGCCCTCCTTGTTGTGCTTGTTTGTGATAACAAACACTCAAAAACTGTTATAGACTAAGGGGCTGTCAAAAATACACAATAGAAATTAAAGCTGATGTAATTCTCCACTTTGTGGAAGTATAAGAAAGTACCTGTTAGAAAAATGGATTTGTTTCCCCAAGAAAAAAAAAGCAAAAAAAAAAAAACAAAAATGTTAAAAGAGGTGGATGTGTGGTACTTTTGAGTGAAGGTTTGCTTTAACCACTTGCTCTCCACAGGATTTACCCCCTTTCCTGACCAGGCCATTATTTGCAATATAACGCTGCGTTACTTTAACTGACAATTGCGCGGTCATGCAATACCGTACCCAAATGAAATGTACTTCCATTTTTCCCACGAATTGAGCTCTCTTTCTGTGGTATTTGATCACCTGTGCGTTTTTTATTTTTTGTGCTATAAGCAAAAACAGACCAACAATTTGGAGAAAAAAACAATATTTTGGACTTTTTGCTTTTAAACATGTCCAGAAAAAAAAATGAAAAAAAATCAAATTTCATCATAGATTTAGGCCAAAATGTATTCTGCTACCTGTCTTTGCTAAAAAAAAGTCCCAATACGTGTAAATTAATTGGTTTGATTGAAAATTATAGCATTTACAAATGGCGGTATAGATACTGGGATTTTTTTTTCCTACTAGTAATGGCGGTGATCAGCAAATTTTAGCGGAACTGCGGCGGGCATTCTGACACTGGGGGGGAACTAACTTGGTGTCACTGACATCCCCCGTTACACCAATACAGTGATCAGTGCTAAAAAACAGCACTGTCATTGTACTAATGACACTGGGCAGGAAGAGGTTAATGTGAGGGGCGATCGAAGGGTTAACTGTGTGTAGGGAGTGTTTTACTAGGATACGGGGGGTGTGTGTGCTTCACTGTAAGCAAACTGTTCGGGATGGCTATGCAGTGCAGTGCACAGCCATCCCGAGCAGTGTGCCCGAGCTGCCAGGGAGGAAGATTTTTTGTAAACAAAACAGTCTTCCTCCACGTCGGTGATTGTCAGTAATCATCGGGCGCCTGCAGGTAATCACCAGCCAGGACCCGGTGATCGACATCCGCGGCCGTAAATGGCTGTGTGGGTAGGGTGCTCACGCATGCCCCCTACCTGGGAATGCAAAATCATGTATATTGATTTTGCGCACATGTGCCACCATGTAGCAGTATATCTACCATAAGGTAGCAGGTAAGCGTCTAAGAAAAACACCAGTGTTGATATACTAAAGGCAAATAGACTGTGCACTTTACAAGTGCAGTTACACTCTGTAAGGGCATTTGCTCTAGAGCTTAGTAAATGAGGGAAAGCTCTGCTTACTTCATCATCTAATCACATGAAAGAAAAAAGGCTGTTATTTATTTTTCTTGCATGTGATTGGGTATTCTTTGCAAAGTGATGCTTTACCTTATTTACTGAGCTCTAGCACAAATGCCCTTCCAGAGTGAAAATGCACTTGCAAAGTGCACAGTCTATTTGCCTTTAGTAAATAAACCCTACTGTGTGCCATCCAGTGGCGGACTGACCATTCGAGCACTCAGGCACTGCCTGAGGGCCCGGGTTAGTAAGGGGCCCCATGAAATGCCCCTGGTACCTTTTTTATAGGCTTTTTTGGGTGTACTTTGAGTGTGGGCAAGGACACAGGGGCCCCATGATCCCCTCTTGCCCGGGGGCCCCATGAGTCGTCAGTCCGCCCCTGGTGCCATCACCTATTTAGACCTACAGTATTTGGCTTATAAAAAACAGTCCTGCAGATATAGTAAATCAATGATTGTACTATGTATATTTTACAGATTTTATTTGGATAATATCTTTTTAATCTAGGCTAAGTAACTTGGGAACCATTAACAAACCAAGTTGGTACTTAGGGTCTAATTACCACAAGTAAAAATTTTCTTTCTCCAAAATAACTAAGAAGAAAAAAAATCAGAGGAGTTTCTGTCATCAAACCATCATTTGAATGCATTGCCGATTTAGGGAATGTTTTACGCCATAAATTTCTGCTGCATCTCACTCTGTAGATTTACTGCTGCTGTTTTGCTTCACTTCTCTCTAGCAGTTTTACTGTCCGTTGATTGCTGAGGATACAGCGATCCTAAGAGACAAATCACTGTTTCATAAACAGGCTGATTATAGTATCCTTATGATGCGATGGTTTAAGAGGAAAAAATGTTGATATATTTAATGGCCTAGTGGAACATATTTGTTAATGTTTTTTGGCTGACTGGAGAATTTGCTGTTGGATGCAACCTTCACTTTTGGTAGAGTCCTATTTTACAGCAGTTTCAGAGTGGTATCTAGTTAGATCAAAGAGCTTCAACAGGCCCCATATTTTTTTTTAAAGCCACCAGAGGATTCAGCTTAGGATAGGAAATATTCAGAATTAGCAGCCAGCTGCTGCTGCCTATTTAACCATTCCAGGCTAGACAACAAATAGAATGTACTTAATGAATTGCTATTAGTATTTGGAATAATACAACCAGCGCTATAACTGTATATCTGGGCTTTAGGCACAAGGAGATGACCGCCATTTTGTTTTGCAGCTGTTGCCATTCAGTTGCAGACATTGTCACCTTTTTTGTCTACAAAGTTAGAACAAAAGAAGGCACACCAGCCTTGCGCATCACCTCAGCAAAAACATGCTTATTAAAAGGATAAAACAGATGTATACACACAAATGCCAAAAAATCATAAGCATATCACATCCAATGCTGGCCAGTAAGGACCAGAGTACAACGCGAGTCCCAGATGAAGGAAGACACTAGGAGAATGGCTGATGCGTTTCGAAGGGAGATCCCTTCTTCCTTCCTCAGAGCCCTCTGGATCTCCCTTCAAAACGCTTCAGCCATCCTCCTTTGCTCTTCCTTCATCTGGGACTCGCACAGTACTCTGGTCCTTACTGGCCAATATTGGATGTGATATGCGTGTGAATTTTTGGCATTTGTAAGTATACATCTGTTCTATCCCCTAATAAACATGTTGTCGCTGAGGTAATGTGCAAGGCTGGAGTGCCTTCTTTTGTTATTGCTTTATAGTATAGTTTTGGGCTTCCCCAGCCTTCCAAAGGGCCTGTACAGCATGGCCCGTATTTGATGGATCAATCATGCCAATCGAGATTTGTCCAAATTTGCTTGATCTGGGTATCTAAGCGCATGAGGTTTCTTGTTCACTTTTTCTGTACCCTTCCATAAACCCCTGTGATCAGTGTCCTCCTGCATCATTCTGTGAAGAGGACCGGGCATATAACGTAGTGGCATTACCTTGTGCTGCTACTGCTCCAGCACCATAGTTAGGGACAATATTGAAGTGACAATAAACCCTGGTTTAAAAAGAAAAAAATCTATTCAAGTATGTATCCTTGAAAAGGTTCTTCAGCCGTTTTGAAAAAAAAAAAAAAAATTCAGCAGCTACCAGTAGAGTATCTGCTGACCTTGCATTAAAGAACACTTACCTGTCCAAGGATCCAGCACCGTCCTCACCCGGGCCGGTTCTTTGCTGGTGTTTTTCATATTTAGTGTGGGAAACAGGCTGTGACTCCTCAAAGCTTCACAGCCGCCTTCTCACTGTTCATGCACGAACTGTGCTGCTCTGTATGAATGGTCCTATAGCCTGCTGAGACCTGTGATGTGTCCCAGAAGGCTGAGGGTGGGGGGGGGGGCAAACGTTTGGTGGAATCACCTAGGCAATACAACTGGAAGAGGGAAAAGGTACCAACAAAAACTAGGTACCTGCTCCCCCCTAAATAAAAAAAAAAATCCAAAAGTGGAGGAGGACATAAAGCAGAACTGCCCTTTTAGGGTGCAGTTCCAATTTAACTAAAAAAAGTCCTTCTATTGCTATCAGCCCCCTCCAAATACTATAATTCCTTTGTTTTTGTGGCTGTTATCTAACTTCCTGTTAGAGAGTGGCTATGTTAGTTTTCCATGGTTCCACTGTATGTAGGAACATAGCCACCCTCTTCTGCTTGTTCCCAGTATGAACTATGGACTATGGAATTCAAAATGTGTTCAGAGCAGTGGACACAACCTTAACTAACATGCGCTCCCTGTTTAAACAACCTGCGTTGGGTGGGAAAGGAGAGGTTTGGGGGGGGATGTTGCAAGAAGGCATAAAAGGGAAACTATGGTTGCCATGTGGTGCTCTCTGTGAAGGTGGGGAAACATAGGTGATGATTAATGTGGTTCATTAATGGGGAGGAGGCAATGCTAACATAGAGCAGTAATTGCATATGAGTATTATGTCTACAGCATGGAAAAAAAGGGTCTAATTTTATTTAGTTATGTCACTTAAACACACTCACATTTTGACCACATCTACATGCTTCTGTTGTATGCACCACCATTTCTCAGACACCAACGTCTTAGTTTAAAGTGATTGTAAACCTTTTTTTTTTAAATAATAAACATGTTATACTTACCTATGTGCAATGGGTTTGAATAGAGCAGCACAGATCTTCCTCCTCTGGCTCCTGCTCCCCACTAAGTGCCCTCATAACAAGCTGTTCCCAAGGATGCCCTGTGGGAGAGATGGGACTTCTAGTTTCTGGTGACGTCACTTCCAACCTGTGGAACACTTGCCGGCTGCATAGTTCCCGGGGCTGTGTTTTTTCCTGAACTACCTTTCAATTTAAGCTGGTTTTTAACATGTTTTATGTAAGTGTAAACTGTATCATGTGATGGGGAATAAATAATTACTACATAATGAAGGTCCCTTCTTCTTTTTTGATCCTCTTTGAGGTTGCCATTTACATTTTACACTTTGAGCAGCAGCATCAGTACTGTTTATAGTTCTATGGCATGGGTTTTGTTTTACATTTGTACAGGGCTGCAGCCTCTTGTCACTTGACTAGAGTGGGTACTTCTTATACCTAGCCTATATCTCCATGGGTTCACATTCAGAAGCATATACAGCATGAGAATATTGGAAACCACATACATTTAGCAAATAGATGTCATAGGTTGGCCACCTAGGAGACAGGAATGGATGGCAATCTTCATCAACAGGGATACAGACAGCAGTAACCTCATGACAGAGGTTCTAACCCTTCCCTAGGCTAAAATTAACAAAAATGATGGTAGTCTTTGAGAGCTCATTCAGATTATTCTATTGTAGTAACATTTAGTAAAACATGCATTAACTTGATAACAGGGGTGGACTGACAACTCATGGGGCAATAGGGGATCATGGGGCCCCTGTGTCCTTGCCCAAACTCAAAAAAGACTATGAAAAAGGTACCAGGGGCGTCTCATGGGGCCCCCTACTGACCCCGGGCCCTCGGGCAGTGCCTGAGTTTCCAAATGGTCAGTCCGTCCCTGGTTGATACACATTTATTTTGAATCACATCCCAATGCACTAAATCTATACACCCTGAAATGGACCTGAATTGACACTAACACTATGGGTATATCTAAATGCATCCTAAGTTTTAAACAAAGGTAAATGACAAGCATAGACAAATGTGATACTTTTATAGTTCATCTGCTGGGCAGTTCAAGGGCATTCGGCATTCATATTTCACCAATACGTAAATTACTTACAGTGTAAGTTGCAAGTTCTAACATTTGTGTTCTATTATGAAAAGCAAATTAAATGCTGTAATGCAGTTTTACAGCCATTAAGTTTTAACAAGAATAACTTTGGTAGGGATAGAAAGTAATCAGATGTAAAGTACTTTCCAGCCTCTTCCTATGTAAATGTTAATATGTCGAATGTAAATTATATATATAACAGATGGATTTTTATTTCATATGCTTTAATACCATTCACAGAAATGCTGGCATTGTGCTAACGTTGCTATTAAGGCAATTAGCATGGCAGTGCATTATTAAAGCTAATTGTTTAAAGCTTAATGTTAGTGTGAAAGCCACTCTTTGACTTTTTGTCTTTAAATATCTGAACTTTAGATAATTGTCTATATAATTACCAACCTATTTCTTTTGAAGAATCAAGAATTAAATGAACTTTAGACAATACTTCAAGCCCTCTAAAACTTTGAAATGACCTTTCAGAATATACAGTAGCTACCCAATTCTTTCTGGCAGATCTGGTCAATACTATTCCGGATATTAGGTTGTGGATTTGCAAATCACAGAAAATGTGATGTGGAAAGATATTTGTTCAGTGGCTATTGGATTACATTTTACTATATGTTATACTTTATCATGCTTATGCATCCATTTTATCTTTTTTTTTAATTTATACATTTTTTTAAAATGTGTTGAACTGTTATAGGGTAGTATGTATATATAAATTAGAATATCATCAAAAAGTTAATTTATTTCAGTAATTCAATGAAAAAAGTGGAACTCGTATATTATATAGATTCATTACACACAGAATGATATATTTAAAAGTATTTCTTTCTTTTAATTTTGATGATTATGGCTTACAGGTAGTGAAAACCCAAAAATTCAGTATTTCAGAAAATTAGAATATAGTGAAAATATTGTAGATTCATGGTGTTACACTCTAATCAGCCAAACTAACTCAAAACACCTGTAGAGGTTTCCTGAGCCTTTAAATGGTCTCTCAGTCTGGTTCAGTAGGTTACACAATCATGGGGAGGACTGCTGACTTGATAGTTGTCCTGAAGACAGTCATTGACACCCTTCACAAGGAGGGAAAGTCCCAAAAGGTCATTGCTAAAGAAGCTGGCTGTTCACAGAATGCTGTATGTATGCAAGCATATTAATGGAAAGTTGAGTGGAAGAAAAAGTGGTAGATAAAAGTGCACAAGCAACAAGGATAACCGCAGCCTTGAGAGGATTGTGAAACAAAGGTCATTTGGGCCTCTGGGGGAGATTCATAAGGAGTGGGCTATGGCTGGTGTCAGTGCTTCAAGAGCCGCCCACACACATACATATCCAGGACATGGGCTACAAATGTTGCATTTCTTGTGTCAAGCCACTCCTGAACCAGAGACAATGTCAGAAACTTCTTACCTGAACTTAGGAGAAAAAGGACTGGACTGTTGCTCTGTGGTCCAAACTAAATTTTGCATTTAATTTGGAAATTAAGGTCCCAGAGTTTGGAGGAAGTGTGGAGAGGAACAGAATCCAAGTTGCATGAGGTCCAGTGTGTTTCCACAGTAAGTGATGATTTGGGGAGCCATTTCAACTGCTGCTGTTGGTCCACTCGTTTTATCAAGCCCGAGGTCAGCGCAGCCCTCTACCAAGAAACCGTAGAGCACTTCATGCTTCCCTCTGCTGACCAGCTTTTTGGAGATGCTTATTTCATTTTCCAGCAGGACTTGGCATCTTCCCACACTGCCAAAAGTAGCAATACCTGGATTAATGATCATCTTATCACTGTGCTTGATTGGCCAGCAAACTCGCATGACCTAAACCCCATAGAGAATCTGTGGGTTATTGTCAAGAGGAAGATGAGAGACACCACACCCAACAATGCAGATGAGCTGAAGGCCTCTATCAAAGCAACCTGGGCTTCCATAACACCTCATCAGTGCCACAGGCTGATAACCTCCATGCTAGGCCACATTGATGCAGTAATTCATGCAAAAAAAGCCCCGACCAAGTATTGAGTGCATACTATACTGTACATGGACATACTTTTCAGTAAGTTAACATTTCTGTATTAAAAATCCTTCTTTTTTTATTGGTCTTATGTAATATTCTAATTTTCTGAGATCCTGAATTTTGGGTTTTCACTAGCTGTAAGCCATAATCATCAAATTAAAAGAAAGAAATGCTTGAGATATATCACTCTGTGTGTAATGCATCTATATAATATTTGAATTTCACTTTTTAAATTAATTTACTGTAATAAATTAACTTTTTGATGATATTGTAATTTATTGAGATGCACCTGTATGTGTATATAATAAATATATATATATATATATATATATATATATATATATATATATATATATACTATATACTATACCATTTATATTTTATATAAAATCTTCATCTGGTGAAAAAAATTATGTAAACATCTGAGGAAAAAAAGTATGTACATATATTCCTATGATTTACATTAAATCTTCATCTGAGGAAAAAAAAATGCAGGGTCTAGCCAGACATAAGATTTGAAAAGAATTTCCAAATACAGAGCAAAGCAGTAGATGTTTTCCTTCAGACTGTCCCTCTCTAACTCAAACAGGCTTTTTCATCAAGAGAGTTAAGAATAGTCAGATGAACATGTGATTAGGGGGCTGTGGTTCCCTCTGTTAGCTAGAAATTGTAAATGTTAAATACTCAAATGCAGTTAATAGAAACAAATATAACTAAAGTGCACTATATATGCCCTTCTGAGTTATTCTAGCACTAATGTTCACAAAACATCTTTAGTTCCAGGTCCCTTTTGCTACTATATGTGCTTTACTAAAGGCAAATAGGCTGTGCACTTTGCAAGTGTAGTTGCTCCAGAGCTGAGAAAATGAGAGGGAGCTCTACTGACTTCCTTTATTCAATCATGTGCAAGCAGCAAAAATGCTGTTTTTTTTTATTTCACTTGCATGAAATTGGGTATTTCTTTGCAAAGTGAAGCTATACTTCATTTACTAAGCTCTGGAGCAAATGTACTTGCAGAGTGCAACTGCATTTGAAAAGTGCACAGTCTATTTGCCTTTAATGAATTAGACCTAATATGCCATACTTTTTTCAATCTCTACTCAAAACACTTTTCACACTTTAAAAAAAGCACACATTAACAATATATGCATTACACATATCTTATATTTCTCTTTATAAAAAAACGAGCTTACACAATAAAATTACCTTCATTATTTTTGATGGTAAAATTTGGGTTATTGGCCATTTCTGGAAGAAGGCTGTAGTAAAAAATAGTGTCCATTTCTTGGATCATCTTTGTCTATAGCACTGACCGTTTGAATAATCTGCAAAAGAAATGAAAACCATAAGTCTAGCAAGTGAATTTTGAAAGTGCAGCACAAAATACCTTGGTAGATTAAGGTTTAGATTTTTGTTTAGTATATAACCATTCCTAAAATTAAAAATCACTATTTGCTCCTGGTATGAATTATGAATCTCAGATATCCCTTTTAAATAATTTATTGTCAGTGTGTATGTATAAAATATATATATATATATATATATATATATATATATAATATATATATATATTAAAAGGAATAACTTCTATTTTTAAATTAAGCAGAAATATGTTTAAAAAAATACATAGAACACTTTAGCAGCTCTACCATCCAAATATTGGGCTGCATACCGAAGATGTTCAACACCAACCAAGGTTTATTGGAATGACCGCCCACTGCTCACTCCCACCCAATGCCCTGTCCCCAACATGTTTCGCCCACCGCAGGGCTTAATCATGGGGATATATGCATGTGAAACGTGTTGAGGGCTTATAGTGCAGAAAAAAAATCTTAAATCCATAAAATTATTTTTATTGTAGCCTCTTTGTCAAAAACACTCCACAATACAGTCACAGATGGGAAACAGCACACCAGCTAAAGCATTTTATGCTAAAATCAGTGCCTGTTCATAGCTCGTTCATGTTGGAGGCTTGTCTCTGAGTGGGAGTGAGCAGTGTGCTGTTGCTAAACCTTGGCTAGAGTTGAACATTTTTGGAGTGACTGGTCTGTGAGTTATGAAAGGGGTTGGGCTTTTCTAACAGCTCTGTTTTATAAGCGGTTTAAATTTGCATATGATCAGGTATAAAATAATTTTTTAGTCATGTTTCATCAAGTGTCAATGATCACTGAGACCATAATATGTTTTGAACATTACTTATAAAATTGTTCTATCATACCCAATTCCATTATACCCAATCATCCTATTGGCCTGTACTTTTGGCTCTTCATTGCCCATTGTGCTTCAAGTTTTCATGCAAGATTTCCTAGTGTTTGGTGAGAAACCAAGGTCCAAGGTCCAATACTAGACATTGATCAGGATGCACTTCCAACCCAATTAGCCAAAGTAAGGCAATGAGCACTTCTGCAGCAGAGAGTCAAGCCTAGTACTGATTTCGTAGTGATCATCCGATAATCTGATTATTAGTATACATCACAACAGTTCATGCAAAATTATCCAAAGGGAAAAGCATGAAAAGTGTTTTCATATAGTACCAGAATGAATGATTTTCATTTAAACAGTACCGTATTTGTCTGTAAAAAATCAAGCGACCAAGAACACGCATGCTCAGAAACAGGGGCGGACTGACAACTCATGGGGCCCCCGGGCAATAGGATTTCCGTCAGCGGAGAGACCTGTATACGAACAATACAGATCTCTTCCCTGTCATCTCCTGCAAACTGCTTTGTATGGCTTTGCATAGCAGAGCTATACAAAGCAGTGTGCTTACAGTGAAACACACACACAGCCCACATAGTAAAACAGCACACAGCACCAGGGGCGGATTGAGAACTCATGGGGCCCCCGGGCGATAGGGGATCATGGGGCCCCTGTGTCCTTGCCCAAACTCAAAAAAGCCTATGAAAAAGGTACCAGGGGCATCTCATGGGGCCCCCTACTGACCCCGGGCCCTTGGGCAGTGCCCAAGTTTCCCAATGGTCAGTCCGCCCCTGCTCAGAAATGAAAAAGAATACATTATAATACAATACAACACATTACAGCACTTCTGAAGTTGTGTTCTGTTGTCCAAAAATTTTCGTAACTTTAGTAAGCTTTTCATTTTTAATATGAGACCAGCATGCAAAAAAAATGGACGATCATTCGTCCGTTATTCTTATTGCACAGTATTCACAAGGCTTTATCCAGAAGACAGCACATGCTCTTCTAACACCTTTAGATGGGGCAAAACTCACATTGACTGGCTGTAAGGCAATCCAACGCAGTACAAGGCTGACTAGGAGGACTGCATCAGGCTGTTTTAAGTGTAAACATAATAGGTGAATTTGTACTCTTCTGTCTGATTATTTTTTCTAGCATCAGGGAGAAGATCACCTTTGTATCAAAATGGCTTCTAGTTTTAGAAAATATCTGGAAATATCTACTTCGAGTTAATCAGCAAAACACAGGTCAACCTTTATGCTTTTGCATTAGCTCATTATCTTTATTTCAATTGCTTTTTTATGTTTTGTGTGCTATCAAATTGCGACAGGCCTATTTGACAGCAGTTCAATTTATATAAAACCCCCATTGCTGGATACAACATTTAGGTCAACCATTCCCACTGTGATCTTTCTGTTTCATTTACGTAGGAAGACATACCAATGGTCTATCTGGGAGGAAATGTCACTGCTGTGCGACAGGTCATCAAAATATAATACATGTAGACGTACATGACAATAAACATAACGCAGTTTAAATAAAAACCTGATTGTAGGTAGCCAGTTTATCATGGTTTGGTTAGAAGGGAGGAAAGGATAGGACATCCCCTTGCTACCTGTCCCATTACACTCTGTTACACCCTATCACACAGATTATCTCCAGGACAGGAAATGAAAGGAAATCTCCCAATGGTGGCAAAGACAGCTAAAACCAGGGGCGGACTGACCATTTGGAAACTCGGGCACTGCCCGAGGGCCCGGGTCAGTAGGGGGCCCATGAGATGCCCCTGGTACCTTTTTCATAGGCTTTTTTGAGTTTGGGCAAGGACACAGGGGCCCCATGATCCCCTATTGCCTGGGGGCCCTATGAGTTGTCAGTCCGCCCCTGTCTAAAACTGACATAGGTTGTCACCCTATCTTTCCCAACTACTAAGCATATTATGTGGAGCTGAGTTTTAAAATAAACAATTATTCCGGGATAAACATGTAGATTTTATAAATGTTCTGCTATTTGCTAAGAGCTATACTTTTTACTCTGTACAATAAGGTCAGTAGATGCATTCAAGCACCAGCTGCTATCCACCAGACTGATGTGTATATACTTCTAGAAAAATAGCAAGGTTTTTAAGAGCACACATAGCATTTCCTCATGGATCCTTGCAGCGGTCAAGCAAGTACCTCTTAACGGATGTGCATTAGTCCTCTGTCAGTGAATTACAACCCTTTCAAACTCCCATAGGTTCGCTCCTTTGTGTTCTAGGTAGACCACATGCAGTAGAAGCCTAGGGGTATTTTGAAAGCTCCGTAACTCAACAATAAAACCCCATTACGTCAGTATACTAAAACACGCTACAGCCAACACTCTTCATAAAAAATGTATCATCTCTCAAAATTAGTTCACTGATGGAAGATGTCAATGGGTTTTGCCATCTCCAGTTTTAAAGGATGTGAACCACAGGGAGCAGAAAAGTGAATGAAAGGATAAGCTAGATTAAAAAAAATGAAAAACACGACACAATGAATTGTAATTTTTCTCTCAGCTTGTGACGTCTTCTGATAATTGGCTAATAATTATTACAGTCACATAGACTGTGCTCCCAGGATGCCTACTGTTGGTGATGTATGAAAGGAATGTAAATGGACAGAACAAGACGTATGGATCTGCTGAAAAAAAATGCATGAGCTAAATCAAGACTGACCCAATTATTGGCAGAGAAATTGATACTCTGCCTTTTTTGCTGCAATATGTTGCCCATGCATAGATATAATGTTGAAACTGACTTAAGAGAAGCAGGCAGGTTTGGCCAGATCAGGACTATATTTGACTATGATTGAGGAAAGAGACAAATGTTTTAAAACTCATTTGCCTTCTGTATTTTGACAAGCAACAAGAATAGCAGAGTAGTGCCACTCTGGTATTATAAAATGTCTTAAAGGATAAGTTCACTGTTTGGGAAAAAAATAATAAATGCACATTTTTTTCCATTGCATTTATTTTTTTATTTTTTGTAATGTGCATTTATTATTTTTTTTTCTAAGAAACAGTGATCAGGGGATCAGGGATGAAATCTCAGGCTGCTGCACAAAATCTCTGCAGCTTTCATCCCATACTTCCATATGGCTGATGGTAGTTGTAGTTCATTCATTCAAAGGATTATGTAAATGAATGATGCAGCCATGTGGGCAAAATCCCACATGGCCACACTGTTTTAGAATTATGAAAGCATGTGCAGGGAGAATATCCCTCACCCGCTGTCACAATGGAAGAGTGATTGCAGGGAGAAGCGACAGGAGCTGGAACATGTTATATGTTCCATGCTAATTATGGGTGGAACATGTAACATGTAACATATTCCAAAAGGTGAACTTATCCCTTAACCCCTTGGTGAAGACTGCTACCGGCACATTAAGAGTTCTAAAAGCTGGGAGGCGTGCATTTGGGTCATATAACTGCTGTGATTGGCTGTCACAGCAGTCACATGATCGGAGAACTCCTGATCACAAGTATGCATCAGGATCTAACCAATCCCCACCGGCTACCATGCTAGGAGCATGCAGGGAACATGCTTTCAGCACGGTAAGGTGTTTTAACCCTTGAGGACCAAGGGACGTATTTGTCCCATGTTTTTAATTGCCTGTATCATCTGACTAAGAACTTAAAACTCTTTTTTTTTTTTTTTTTTGGTTTGAGTCAAAATATTAGTTCTTATCAACAAACAACAAATGGATCTAGCTTTTTGCCAATTATTTCATGAAATGGCTTAGTTACAGCAACTGAAGTGTACGAACTTTAAAAACAAAAAAATGATTATTTTGGCGTTCCGTAATCTTATGGTCCTCAAAGGGTTAACAGGACAACATATATGCGGCCGCTTGGCATTAAGGCCCATCTGCCAAGATGTTGCATATATGCGTACGGCCTGCGCCAACAGGTTAAAGTATAAAAGACTGATGCCAGTCTTTAGATGTGATGACTTCATTAGTTTTATTTTTGTAGGGTTTTTTCCCCCTTATTTTCACCTAGTGATCCTGCCAGTAAAACACTTCCTGTCTGAAGGTGACAACACTAACACATGGAGAAGCAGTGTTGTCAATTAAATATAAACATTTCAATTATATATTTAACACACCAATTGGTTTACAAACACTTTAAACCTCACCTCTTAAAAACTTTAAGTCTATATAAAAATAGAGGAAAAAAGAACCACCCTTTTAGATCACTTTTTTACACTAATAAATCAGCATAAATCATCAGACAATGACTTCTATCTAGTTCTTAGATATGAAGTATATGGTCCAACCCCCACAAGAATAAAAATGATCAGCAGATGCAAACAACTCAAATATTAGAATGTATGAAAGGGGAGTAGTTGTCTGCAGCAGTGTACCAATAAATGAGTTATTAATCACAATACACTTCAGCATACTTTACGTCACATGACCTCCCAATTTACTTTTTTTTTTTCCAAAAAAGTATTTTATTGAAATATGAAAGGCATATCAAGTCTTATACAGATACGGAGCACAGTCCGCACATAGACATATTCAGGGGCGGACTGACAACTCATGGGGCCCCCGGGTGATAGGGGATCATGGGGCCCCTGTGTCCTTGCCCAAACTCAAAAAAGCCTATGAAAAAGGTACCAGGGGCATCTCATGGGGCCCCCTACTGACCCCGGACCCTCGGGCAGTGCCCGAGTTTCCAAATGGTCAGTCTTCCCCTGGACATATTACACATTCTCCCGTAACGCAGACGGGTCATAAGATGTCTGTTTAAAGTGTGATTCATCCCGAGGCAAAATATCATAATATAGCAAATGTATAATACATACCAGTAGCTATAATGCTTATAGTAAATAAACTAGATAAGTATAATGGACAATGATCCACTGAGTAGGGAGTTCTCAGATAATAGGACTGTGGAGTGTAAGGCAAACATATCTTCTGAAGGCGTATATGCCATATGTGCCCGTATCTGGAAAATGTAGGTTACTTTTGTAAAGAATAGTCACACCTGTATGTGAATAGATGCTGTCAGGGATGCGGATATGACCAGAAATGTGTGGACTGACACAGGGAAACGTAGGCTTCAGATATAGTAAATAATATAATTTATTGAGACTAACAATACAAATATAAACGCAGTGCACCAAACCTCAAGCTAACACAAATACATACAACAAGGTGAAACAAACCCAAACCTAAACTGATATAAATACACAGGTACATACACATATAGAGCACAACGTAGTCAGGCAGGCCGGGTCGATAACTAACTATCGGGCAGGTAGGTACAGGAGGAGCAGGCGGAGAGAATGGTCAGGGTCACAAGCCAGGGATCAAACAGGAGAAGTCAGCAGAGGTCAGGATCAGGCAGGGTCGGCAACAAGTCAGGCAGAAACAGGAACAGGAACAGGAATGCAGGTTAAAAGATACAGGGGCCCATGGAAAAACACACACCAAGGCCTGAGTGTGAGTCTGGCCATTCCTTAAATACAACCCCTGCAATCAGCTTCAGGTGTTTTGGCTGACTGCAGGGGTGAGTCTCTGATTGCTGACAGCACCCGCTGGCCAGCCCTGGTACTGCAGCCCACAAGGACGATGAGTCCCACCGTTATTGGCAAGTCCATTCCTGACGGATGCTCTGTTCCTTATAGAAGATATGATTAGTAGGGGAATGTAGAAGGTGTAAGATGGAGAGAAGAAAGAAAAGAGAAGAGAGCGTCGATTGAAGAGAAATGTAACAAGTGACCTTGTAAAGGGTAGGGGGGGGAGAAGAAAAAGAAAAAAAAAAGGGAGGGGAGGGAAAGGGAGGGGTCAATGATTAGGCAGACCTCCCAATTTACTAAATCAGTCACCTCGCATCCAAACCAAAGGGTCTTACCACAGAGAGTCTTTGATTCTCTATTTAACCTATTTTTAACATTATCTAAGTGAAGTAAATTGAAACAAGCACCGCAAGGATCCTTTGGCACAGATACTACTTCAGTTCTCAGCAAGCACAAAGCAATGACATCACTGAAATAATGTACCTGGACTCTTGACTGGCTTTATCCCTTTAAGTGAAGACATTACCATTCTTATTATATTTTCTTCTTTATGTTCAATACTAAAAACATATACTGTATATCAGGAAAGTATCATATTCAAAGCAGCTCTTCTATATTATATCACACTGGAAAACTAGTACAATATAATAGGAATTCTTTTGATCTTCTGCTATTGAATTCTATCCATAAACACCTGCTCAACTTAATAGAGATGTGCGCAATGGAAAAATGTGTTTTGTTTCATTTCAGTTTCATTTGTTAAGTAAATCATTTTGTTTCATCATGTTCGCCATGTTAGAATTGTTTTTAGAGCGATTTGTTATTTCTGGAAAGTGTACATTCGTTGTTCTGAACTGATTTGTGCTTTTGGAAGTTCTGTTATGCTTTTGTTATTTAGGAAGATTGGCTATATTCATTTTAATGTAATTAATAATTACATATTCATTTGTTGGGTTATTAAATTGAATTCATTTCCCCATTCCCAACTGACTTTGTTTTTTGGGCTGTGTACATACCAAATAGGCGAATGGTCTCTCAAGTTCCAGCCCAATAAAAAAGAATCTTATTAGAATAATCACTCTACGCTCACCAAGAATGAATCAATTTGAATCATTTGTAATGTTGTTACATTGTTTTGGATGCTTCAAACATTAACAAAAGGCCCAAACTATCGCAACATTTCAAATGAATGATTACAAATTAATTTGCTGTTTTTGTTATAATTTATTTTGTCTTTGTTGAAATTCATTACTATTACAACCAAATCTCCGCATAACACAAATTTTGTCTGAATTTCAATTTGTAACGAATGAACCATACATGTCTACAACTTAGTAGATGAGGCATATATCCCTCTTCCTTTCTGCTATCCCATAGTGATCTCTATGGGTTTTCAATTAGACAGAGAAAGTCAACAAGCTGGCA